GACCCCAACAGCAAGCTAACCTACCGGTCTGAGCATCTGCCCCCTGGTGGTCAGTGCACATCATAGCGACTGGTAGACCAGTCGACTGTCTGCTCCCTGGTGGTCAGTGCACATCATAGTGAGCGGTTGAGCGACCTTAGCATATCATTAGCATATTACACTTTGATTGGTTGAATGGACGACCGGACACTTAGCATATTAGGCTTTTATTATATAGGATGGAGTTAAAGAGAAGGAATGAAGGACTCTTAAAGCTATGTATTCTAGAATTTCTTGAGTTATGAGCCCCAAAGTAGATCGATGTCTTACACAGTCCTCCTTTCCAGGATACACACGTGTGTGCAGTATCACGTTGCTTCACCCAGGCACTTCATTTCTGAAGCACAAGAATTTGAAGGCTCTCTCCAAAATGTGCCTCAAGGCAGTGATTTTCAGCTCAGTGTCAACCACAGTTTCACCCAGCAAGGAGAACAGATTCTGAACAAACTCCGCCACTTCACGGCAAAGGCCAAGTAGGGGTTTCAGGGAGATAGATTTCTGGCCCATCTGGCCATGATGGATGGCTCTGGCTCCAGGCCCATTTTTCTCCCCACCAAACAAGGTCCTTTGGGCAACATAAAACAGTGCTGCTTCTCCGCCTTGAATGCCCGCTCGGGCTGCTTAACAGCCTCCTGGCAAGTGCTGCCTGTCACTGGGAAAGCAGAGACATATTTACAAAGCTGCTTGTGGAAACCAAGCTTCAGGGAGTCTCCGCTTCCTCTGTGGGGAGAGGAGCTCTCAGGGCACCGGGGCGCTCAGCAGTTCCTCCCGGGCCTGCATCTCAAAGCTTCTCTGACAATAAACGGAAACTGCTTCTCAGAACAGGGAGGAGGTCAACTTCCCTTCCGCCACAAGTGTGCAAATGGAATTTTAAAAACTCTGAGCAAATTTTCTAATTTCACTCTGATTGCTTTCCAAAGGATGACCCACAACCACTTTGAAGCTAGAAGGACGTGAAAGCAGCACGCTGTTTCTGCATCTTAGGTGAGGGGAAATGACATTACAGGGTCTCTCGTAGTTTTCTAAGCAGAGGGGCACTTTTTATCACACTGAGATTAGGGGTGGACAGTCAAGAGTAAAAGAACGTGTTTCCATGTCCTCGGCAAGTGGACAAGTCTCAGCATGACTCACTGCTCCCCAAGCAAACCTTCTCCATCCTGCAGGAGGAGCATCAGGCTCCGTCCTCTTGTCTGTCCCCCTTAACCTGCCGCCCTCCACAGAGCGGTGGGAACTCAATTACTGAGCAAGTCCCCACGTCCCATTTAACTTAAGTTACAATGACTGACTGTGCTGTGTGACCTTAGCGATCACCTTTGGCAGTGTGGCCAGTGTGGGGGCAATGGGGGAAGGTCTTGGCACACTTTGCAGAGCCCTTCTGTAGTCCCACCATGCTGGAGAAAGGCACCAGTTGAAAAATACAATCCTCTCTTTGGCCCGAGACAAAATTCATATCAGTTCTGAGATGTCGAAAGTGTTAGAATGGAAAAGAAACAGAAAAATGTGCGTCCCGAGAGAAACCAAGATGGCGGCATACGTAAACACCTGAAATTGCTGCCTCGCACAACCACTTCAAAAATACAACTAAAACACAAAGCAGACATCATCCAGAACCACAGGAAGGCTGGCTGAGTGGAAATTCTACAACTAGAAGGAAAGAGAAAAGCACACTGAGACTCAGAGGAGGTGTGGAAGTAAAGTGCAGAGGTGCGGAGGCTTGAGGCTCGAATGCGTGCGGAAAGGGGCTGGCAATGGAGGATGCCAGTGTCTTTTGCAATCAGGAGGGAGGCACAAGCTCTCGACGGCCCTGACTCCAGTTCCGGGCGAGTCTCTGGGGACCCAGACTCATACGGGGAGAAACTGGACTGTCTGGCAGCGGGCGGAACTCAAGGGCGGCTTTCTCTCAAAGGTGCTTGCAGCGAGTACCATGGGACACTGAGACCCAGGACCTCTTAGGGTAGGACTGAGGATCAGCCATAGCTGTTTGCTCCACCCTGTTGATTTCCTGAGTCCCCGCCCCACCCAAGCTGCTAGCAGAGGCTTTT